GTCCATCCATCCATCCATCCATCCATCCATCCATCCATCCATCCATCGCCTCATGCTTGGCTGTGGAGGTCCACTGTAGATTCTATCCTAAAATCGATGTCAAATCTTTCTTATCAGGAAATAAACAAACAGGAACTGCCATCTGTGCTGGAAGCTGCCCTTCAGAAGCTGAAACACATTGCAGAGAAATATTCCAGTAAATCTGCCCTTGGTAAGTTTATATACGGTAACTATAGCGCCAGTTCCCACGCATGGCGTCTTCAGGCCCTTTACTGAGTCAGTTTCAGTCAGATTGGTGAAATTAACTTTAAGTTCTGAGCTGTGGAACTTGGCATTTCTCACTGTAGCGTTTGCTCCTCAGCTGCAGATTACCACCGTGTCAGTCAGCAGGTGAAGCAGCTTGAGGAGAACACTGCTGCGGTTCTGGAGGAGATGTCCTCAGCCAGGATCAGGATGAGCCGGGTCCTGTCCGCCTGGGACTCCTACAATGACTGCCAGAGCTCCATTCAGGCGTGGCTTGAACAGGGCTCTGTGACTCCCAGCCATGGACACTCATGGATGGTAGGAAACCCTGATATCTAGTGGGAATGATTATTGGAGGGAATATTAATTATATCACTCAGATCTTGTATAGAAATGTATTATCTACATATTACGCCACCTATAGTCGGGATCTGTTCGATGTATATTTAAAAATCCGAGATTTAGTTTGACAAAAAATTGCTTTTTAAACAATCAATGTAAAATGAGCTTTATTCTTACATTTCTAAATAAACACCTCTGTTTTAGTCATTTAAGCAGTGGCGGACTTGGTCCCTCTGGGGCCCCAGGTTATGTTCAGTTAGGGGCCCTCCTCCGTGTCAGCCCTCCTGTCCCAGTGGCCCCTGACTGTGACGGGTTGTGTGGATCTGCCTCAGTGTTCCTGATATTGTACCGGGAACCAGAGGGCAGCTCAGTTGTAGCTTTGACTGTCGTCTTACATTTCTTTCTGCTCCAAAAGGATGTGCTCCTTTCTTCTGCTAAATCATAACTCTTTTATTGCATTGGTAAACAAATATTCCAACATGGCTGTCAGATTCTGCAACAGCTTCTTCCCCACTGCCATCTGACGGCTGAACTGATGAGAAAACTCCAAATCATGTCCCAGACTCTGCATCACACTGATGACACCAAACCAAAACACTGCAGATTTGTACCATATATACTAATGCTTTGAACTACCAGATCAATGAGTTTTTTTGCACCATGTTTTTTTCTCCCGCACTATTTACATGTGATGACTGCCGCACTTTATGGAATGGAAATGCGCTGAAAGCTGTACAAAAGAAAATCTTTTTTTGTATACAGTCTATGTATACAAAATGACAATAAAAGTTTCTAATTCTAGTCTGTTAAAAATGAATGGTCTCTGTAGGAGTTAACATAAAATGTAATTTCTGTTGGCTCTCTGTCTGTCCTCTGCTGCTGCAGGCTTCTCAATGGGTGACGTTTGAGTCCATGAGTGAGTGGGGCTCCAGGCATGCCCATTTAAATGAGGTGAGCCAGTTTCTGATGGAGTGCACAGACCCTCAGACCAGCAGAGCTCTGGCTGAGGAGCGGCGGAAACTCAACAAGCACTGGGCAGAGTTTGTAGAAAGAACCAATCTGGTGAGTTTTCTACCAAACAAGATGTGGGATCTAGATATGATCTAACAGAGCAGATGTACCTGCCTGGATTTCAGATAGAGTTTATGGTTGAATACACCATCCAAACTTTGCAAACCGCTTTAACTTTCTGACATTTTCAATCTATTTTATTTTGGAGTTCATAGAAAAACAAAAATTAGCTCCATATTAAAGAAAAAGGCTTAATCAGTTATCAGTAATTTCATCACGTAAGACACTGAAGCATGGAGTGTATTTTTATCTACAATGGCATAGTCATTTGGATAGTCTGCACTTTGACTAGGTCACTCTGTTAATGCTTTAAAAAAATAGGCCTAAAAAAAAGAAAACTACAATAACAACATACATAATAAAATAGATGTTATTATTTGCACGTTATTAGCTCAATGTTGTGTACAGGTTTGATATAAACAATCCCAGAGCTGCTCTCTCTAGATCATCAGGGTGGTTCTGCTGCCGGAAGGTCAACCTCTGCTCCAGTGTCAAGTCCTCTGCACCCTCTAAAAGCTTTTCATCCTGGATTTAGCTTCATCCATTTTCACCATCATCTCTGACTCTTTTCCATGTAGACATCGATCATGATGATGTCATTGTCAATAGGTTGGGAAAAGTTCCAGCATTTTTTCACATGATCTTTTGTTGGATTTTTTCTTCTCAGGAAAACTCAACAGAGCGGAGTGCTGATGTCACAGCTAGCACCTTCCAGGACCTCCAGCATTTGATCAGAGAGGCCACTCTGATTCTTAAAGAGCCTCTGGAAGCAATGGCGGGTCCTTTAAGAGTGTACAGGAAACGGCTACAGGTAAAACTACTGGAAACATTAGATAATTATTACAAATACAATTCCTTCCCTTTTTCCATGATCATGGAGTCACTTGAGATGTTTTCCTCTATTAGTTCACAATAAGAAAGATAAAGGAAGTAAATCTTGGTACCCTTGAGCCATCTGCAGAGTGTCCACCTGATCAGCTACAGAAACTCCGGCTTGCTATTCCTGAAGTAAGAATGAGTGAAAATACATCGATATCATATATATATATATATATATATATATATATATATATATATATATATATATATATATATATATATGTATACCATACATAATATCTTATCAGAGTTCTTCTTTATTTTCATTTCAGGTAATGCAAACCCTGTTTGAAGCTGAAAAGGTTTGTGCTGAGCTCCAGCATAGTGTCACTGGGTTGGACACCAGACTAGCTGAACTCCTTCTCTGGGAAATCGAGGCCAGGGAGTTGTACTCAGTGCTGAGAGCCACAGATCGACAACAATCAGTACAAGGCCAGGACCCACGAGCCAGGGTATGATGCCCCACAGATCAGAGTGCAGTCTGTCTTAGGTTATTTCATAAGGAATGCTGACAGTTTATCTGTTGAAACAATGTTTACTTAGGAGCATTTTTATTTGCAGATCATCATTTCCCGTGGTCTTCAACTAGAGGGCCAGGTGGTCACAGAGGAGCAGGACCTACAGGTTATCGTTATGACTAGTCAGAAAACCACCCCCATCCAATACCTTCATGCATCTGCTATGCAGAAACGGGTCCAAACTGCCGTTTCCCAGTCCCAGGCTAGTTGTTTTCTCACATGCATGTACACACATACATAGGCTACAGACAGATGTTTTCTAAAGTATATGTTCAATTTCAGGAAGCTATCGGTTTGCTCAGTAGCCTGGGTTCAAGGAGAGACAGAAGCAGAAGCCCTCCTGAAGCTGTCCAACCATCAAAAGTCTTCATCCAGGCTAAAGCTACACCTCAACACCTGAGAGAGTCAGAGACTGCACTGCCAACTCATCAGTCAGAGATGAACGTCATCTCACATTGGAGTCAGGAAACCTTTGTGCCAAAGATAGTAGTGCAAGAAAGCAGAGAAGAAAAGATGTCTCCACCAATGCCATATACCTATGCAGAGGCTGTTATGCAGACAGGTACAAGGGCACGTGAAGAGGTCCAATTTCAGGTTTGCCAAAATGCCAGCGTGGAAAGAAATCAGAAAGTTCAAGATACCCATGAGCAACAAGTCCTGCAAAAGGAACTTTCCAAAAAATCTGATCAAGAAAAGCTCCAAGCATTAAATTACAAACTGGAACCCAAACCAGAAGAAAAGAAAGAGAAAGAGATGGTTCTAGAGCAACCACGCAAGGCCAAGCAGAAGGAACAAGAAAATGAGAGCATAGTTTGTCAGGTTCAATTTGAACAGCAGAGCCTTGCAAATGTAAAAGAAGAAACCCCTTTTAAACTGACAGCTGACATTTATCAGGAGAGTTCACATCAGCAACCACCTGCAAAGAAAAAGTATCTGAGTTCAAAAGAACTCCAGAGCAGAAAGGCTCAGGCAACAAAAAATCGACCATGGCTTCAGAAAACAACCCTAGCAGAAAATAAAAGCCCAGAATCTTCTCAAAAACAAGATCCTGTCCATTCAAGACAAGTCAAGTCACAGTTAAAAAGAGAAACAAAGTCTGCTCAGGTTGTTTCCCAAAATACACCCAGAGGTAGGGCACACCCAGAATTACAACAAAAGGTGACAAAGCAGTCACCAAATGAACAACACCAGTCTTTAAGGTTAGACCAGCAACAGCGACAAAAGACGCAGGTTCAAAGCTTTCAGAAACGGGTACAACCACCTGTAAAGCAGGCTGAACCTGATTTAGAAAACAAGGGTCAATCCCAAGTCCAGTCTTTTACAAAGCCAGAATCTACTGCAAAGGTTCAGCCTCAGTCAGCGGCCCAGCCTCAAGAACAGTCCAAAGGTCTGGCTTATACTTGTGCGAATAGTCAACTAACAACCATGTCCCAAACCAGAATAGGTGAAACTCTGTCACAGAAACAAACATCCCCACTAAACCAGAGTCCCTCTCAAACAAGTGTCTTTTATGGATCTCGGCTTCCCTTGAATACGCTGGAAGGGCCTCCAGTCAGACCCACCCCTACAGTTCAGGCCCCTCTACCAGGTCCCATCCAACTCCCTTTGCCTTCCCATATCCAGCTTCGTAGTCATCCACAGTCTTGGGCTCCTGTTAGACCACCTTCTCCTAAGCCACCAACAACTGATAGGCCTGAAACCTGTGGTCAGCAAAGTTTCACTCAGTCTCAATCCCAGCTGCAGTTTTTTAAGCAATCTCATCTTCTCAGTCCTTCAACTCCACAAATCCAAGCAAATGATCAATCTCCTGCCCCACATCAGCCTCGGGCTTATCTTCAAAGCCCTTCCCAGTCAGTTTCCCAGGCTCAAATCAGTCCTCAACAAAGAGCAATCCTTCAAACTGATGCCCTTTCCACAGAGCGAGCTGTCAAATCAAAGTCAGGGGCCAATCAGCCTCAAACACCAATTTACGATGAATCAAAATGTCAACCTGTAGTCCATTATCAAGCTCGTTCAGCCTCTGATCCCACAAGTCTCACTCAGCCAGCAGTCCTACACCAAGGTCTTTATTCTCAAGGCCAACTGCCTGCTTGGCATGAAGTTGGAGGTGGGACACAAATGCCTATCCAACATCTTCAAACTACTGTTCAACCTTTTCCTTACCTTAATATATACCCCCAGCCTTGTTTTCCATCCCAGCAGTGGGCAGAAAAACAAGAACTACAAAATCAAGCCATTTCCCAACACAGGCACCCAGTTTCACAATTATACCCTCAGCAGATGACTCATGCTTTACATTCTCAGGGGTATCCAGCAGGTCAAGCCTCACCCCAGTGGGCTCAGCAAGGATCTCAGATCAGTCCCCATGGCTATATTGTTGGTCTATCCTGTACAAAGCCTCAAATAAGTCCCCAGACAAGCACACCATCCTGGACTCAAGCCCATTCCCAACAGAGCCATATCCAACAGGGCCCTCCAATAGGAGCTTATCCTTTAGTACAGAATGAACAAGGTCAGATTCAGCAAAAGACCTGGTTCCAGCCTCAGCCTCAGGCTTACCACCAGCCTGTGTCTCAACCTTATTTTCCAGCTCAGCAATCAATCCACGGGCAACATCACACTCAGCCTCAGATGCAAATTCAAATACCTCTACAACCACCGCCCCCACACAATGCTCCTCCTCAGCTCTCTACACAGAACCAAGGACACACTCCTCAAGGCCAGTCCCAAACACAAACCCAGCAGCAACCAGCGCTACAAACTAAAATACATACCAAAACCAATCAGCTTCCGTCTATAACCCCTATTCAGTGGTCCTCTCCTCAGCCCACACATGCCCAGGTGCTGCCAAACCCAGTGCCTGAGAGCAAAAGTTCTTCACCTCCAGAACCCAAACCTCTGGCCTTAGCACACTCAGATCCATCAGTTGTGTGTTTACCATCTCAGCCAAAGGTGGAGCCATCAGTTGGCTTAGAGAAAGAAGGTGTAACTGATCACAAACAACAAATTGCCACAGCAACAGTAAATATTGAGTCTTCACCAAAAGACGGGGAACAGAAATGCATTAATGAAGAAACTGTGACCCAATCAGAGACATGGTCCAAAGCACATTCTCTAGATGTAACTGGTGTCGTGTCTGTCATACAGCCTTTACCTGAACCTCAGGGGCAGAAAATGTCTGTGGTAGTAAGACCGAGCAAGATTGATATTGAATCTACACAGCCACCCGGCATGACATCAGAAACTGCCTCAGAACCAACAGCTCAGACACAAATTCAGCCTGTTGTTCAACCAGCGACTGAACTTAAGGCACAATCACTAACACCGTCCAAACCCCAGAGCCAGTTCCCAAGTCCAACCCAGCAGCAGCCTCAGTCACCAATGCTGAACAAGTCCCAAACTTCAACACAACCCAGGGCCTCATTTTCACCTCAGACAAGTCCTAAGACTAGACCAGTACCTACAATGGCTCCTCAGAATAAGGACGAATCATCAAATCTCTCTCCTGAGACATTTCTTCTGCCTCAAGCTCCTGCTAAGGCCTACACAGAAGCCTACGCAAAGGCCCAGGCTCTGGCCCGCAACCACTTTGAAGAGGCCAAGCACTGCCTGCAGGCCCACATCATCGAAGCAATCTCTGTCTTCAAAGATAGACGCTTGTCACCTGAGCAGGTCTCAGCCAAAGAGGTAGAAAGAATTTCCTTTTATGCATGATATACTGTATAGTTAAGACTGATAAAAAACCAGCAGCACACAGATTACCGTTTCCAGGAAACTGGAGGTAAAGGAGACAGCTGGAAAAAAATGACATAAATTAAACTTACCTGATAATATAGAATGTCTTTCCTATATCTTGTAGCATAAAATTAATAAAAAAATGTCTCATCAAAGCAACATCGGTGTTTATCACAAGCAGCTTTTCCGTGTTGGCTAAACTAAATCTAAAAAAATGTTTGTGGTGTGGAATTCATTCAACACATAGTAAGAGATTTAGGGCATTTTTAGACTTTCACCTCTTTGGCCAGCATAATAAAGACCTTTGCACTTACCTTTTTTGCCTCTTTTTGCCTCTTTCCTCAGCGGACTCTAAAGACCCTTGACCCAGAGTTGCTAGAGGAGTTCCTGAGAGCAGCCAAAGGCATGGAGGCCTTCTGCACTCAATCTCAACTCAAAGAGATGGAGTTCTTCACGCAGTCTGTGCAGTCACAGTGGAAGGTAGGACAGTAAGAGCGCTGCTCGTGATTGGTGTCTGGTTTTAAATAACCTAACCTTTAAAATGTCTTAAACCATTTTAAATCAAATTAATATTAACCTTAATGTGTTTATTTGGTCAACCTTGTCTGTATGGTGTGTAGCTTCTAATTGCTGTTTTCTGAATTCATTCTTTTGTTCTGTCCAGGATGTGAGAGCTGATATCTCAGGGTTTTTGCAACAGTTGAGATTTGAAGTAGCAAGAAAAGCTTTTAGCACAGGTTTGAGGGACAGTGAGATGAACTTAAGATCCTCCAGAAAAGGTCAAACACAGGTAGTAAAACTTCTGGAGCAAAATGTCTAGGTGTGCTTCAGGTGATGGGGATGGCGCTTATGGTGTCTGTTTGCTTTTATATCTTGGTCTTCTGTGTTTGCATGCCTCCTGTCAGTGGGGCTTTGGGTGTCTGGAAGTTTTATTATGGCTTTAACGGGAGTTCTGTCTTTTAGCAATATCAGCACGTTGTGTCTGTAGAAGTACTTTAAGCAGACGTCTACTTATGATGAAAAATAGATCAACTGTCATTGTTGGGGAAGAAGAAAACTCTATATTCTGCTTTTGTTCTCTGAGCAACACCCAGCTTTCCTTTGAGCTCCCCGAGCTCCTATAGGAGAAGCAGAGAAA